TTTAGAAGTCACAAAAATTATTTTCGGAAAATGAAATGTTTCTCTTAATTCCAAAAAATTGATTTCATCAATTCTTGATTGTATTCTTCAATCCTCAACAAGAAAAAATTATGGAAATTCAACTGAATCACTCTTCAACGAGTTCTGCAACATTTTTTCAAAAATTATAAGTCGAGAATTCTTCCTTGAAATATACGAAATGCCATTCGTCGATACCCCCACCGTCTGGGCATAAGAATTCTGTCACAATGTCATCGATTCAGTGTTCTTACCCATCGGATTGACGAGCGTCTGATACATCTTCCCTCAATATTTTTTATTTCCACCGATAAATGTATTGAATATATCGGGTTAGAGCTGAACGGCGAGGGGTTGAGGGGGTATCGAGTGGTCCCGTGTATGCTCAAACGTCGGGCATAAATAAGTATTGAAAAATCTATGTCGGCGGCATAACCCACACAGTCAGTACATAAATATCTGACGGCATATCCAACGGTTATATTTCATGCTGATGATGAAAAAAAGAGGCTGTACACAGTTGAATATGTCTTGTTGGCTCTTTCTTTTTTTAACGTCTCCTTATTTCTTCTGATAAATTCAACGTCTCAATCCGTCGATGCTGGCCTCGTGTTCCAATATCCCGAGAGCGGTCAATTAAGGCATCCCTCTACAGATGTCTGGGTCCTCCGTTACTCGGTGACGTTACCAAATATGCTGACGAAATATAAATATTACATTTTGTTTTTTAGAGGGACTTTGCATGAATGTTTGATTGTTTCGATTACGAAAATAAAGAATGTTGTAATGATGTCAATAGCTGCCCCAATTGCGGGTGATTCTTCTAATTATTCGAATGTTCATGATGATCTCCGCAGTTTTGTTAATTTTATTCCATTTCAAGCCGATGAAATTATAAGTATTTATTTCAGAATTTCTTTGGAATGAATAAGTATAATGGAAGGAATTCCTTATCACTCTAATGGAAACCTTTTAGGGGACTGCACTTCGTTCCCGGGTGGCAATCAGCACAGGCTCAACCAGTTCGACAATATTTTACGTGTGATAGGTTTACACTGAAAGGATTTGTTTACACTAATTTTCATTCTTTATCAAATTCTGCTTTTTTTATTTTCATTTTTAATGAAGGAGTATAATTCTTTGGTTTTTGAATAAAAAACTGAGTCCATATAAATTATTCGATAGAAATTATGCATATAATATGGATAAATTCACTAATCATTTTGTATAAATATAAAATCACATAAAATAAGTTATTCGAAAATAGCTGCCTTCTTTACAATTTAAATACTCAATTTTTGCATATTTGATATCTAACTACAATTATTAATATCTTTGCTATTCTATTTATTGTTTACAATTGCGAAAATTTCCCTGTAAAATTGGAAAGTCTCAATTATTTTTTCCACCCAAATAATTCGTTTAAAAGTCATAAAATTCAGTGAGAAATTGGAAATTGAAACCCATGCCTCAACCAATTGTAATTCCCCAATTGTTATTCGACGATAGCTGCCTTCTTCACAATTTAAATGCTCAATTCTTCTATATTTGATATCTAACTACAATTATTAATATCTTTGCTATTCTATTCATTGTTTATAATTGCAAAATTTCCCTATAAAATTGGAAAGTCTCAATTACTTTTTCCACCCAAATAATTCGTTTAAAAATCATAAAATTCAATGAGCAAATTGGAAATTGAAACCCATGCCTCAACCAATTGTAATTCCCCAATTGTTAGTCGACGATAGCTGTCTTCTTCACAATTTAAATGCTCAATTCTTCTATATTTGATATCTAACTACAATTATTAATATCTTTGCTATTCTATTCATTGTTTACAATTGCAAAATTTTCCGATAAAATTGTAAAGTCTCAATTCCTTTTTCCACCCAAATAATTCGTTTAAAAATCATAAAATTCAGTGAGAAAATTAGAAATTAAAACCCATGCCTCAACAAATTGTAATTTCCCTCACTCGCATACCCCCTCCGGACAAGAATTTCTCCTAAATTTTCATTATCCACCCAAATAGTCCCCCATAAACTAGAATTCTCCCGTACTCTATTGGACACCAGCATTTCTCCACTCATTCCAAAAGTCACGTCCTTCAGGAGTGAACAGGCATCACTCCACAAGCTATCGATAACTTGAACATTAGCAAGGCCACAATGAATGGCCATTCTGGGAAGTTTTTTGAAAGTTTCGTCGAGTTCTATGAGCTCCTGCCACTTAACTTCGCCAGTACATGTGTCATCAATGTACCAGACCTCTAGGGTATCTTCGGGATCTTCAGGGAGGGTTTTGATGATGGCTCGATGGACTCCGAAGCTGCAGACCCCAACCAACATTCCTACTGTCAAATCTGATGGGTTTAAAGACTTCTTCTGACCCAACTCTTCGTAATATACGGACAGGACTTTCAAGAGGCTCAAATATTTTGAGTGAAGGGCCTTCGGACGGACCCAGATGTCGTTGGGCCCATCAGTACTGAGGATCTGCACTGGAAAGCGATCTCCCAGCGCTTTGAGATCAGTAAAAGGTATCTGAGATGATCCTGAACTGTTCATCGTGCCTTTAATCACTGATTTTTTTTTATCAATTTCGTTTTATTTCTCTGCAATATTGATTTATTCTTTTTATTTATGGAGATTATCGATGATACTACGCTTGATAAATCGTCCACTTGAATTATTTAATTAGTTCAATTGGTTTTAGTGATAAACTACGGGGAAATCACAGTTTTTATCAAATTTTCCCGAATTTGATTGCATGTATCACAGTGGCGTGGAAACCCGACTGACAGCTGGCGTTTCACGCTGTGGGTCGAATATTTTTAGGACCAACCGATGATACCGCGCAGGAGGGGAGATCCCCTATGGATTTTTCCCGGCAGGAAATCGTGGCGGGAAGGGGATTTATCTGACCAATGAAAACTCGGGTTTATTCAACTCGCCATGACGTTTCAAATATTTCTGGTCATTAACATTAATTAGAGGTGAAATTTTTTTCTCTAGCACCGTCATTCCGCGGTCTACAACATCAGGTAGATGGGATTTCAGATAAATATAGAAGGGAACGAACAGGTTCAATGGTGTTAGTCGAATGAGACGAGAAAAAGAACGATTTTTCAAGCTTTAAATTTTTTTAGTGTAACATTTCAAAATTAAAGCAAACAATTTCTGTTCCTGAATTTGACGGTGAATTATCGTATGTAATTCCACGAGAGCTTCAAAATTATTTTGCATTTTCCGATGGGTTCGTTGCAAACAAACGAAGCAATCAATTTTTTCCTGAAAAACTTGACGAGTTCGTTTGTATGTAGGAGAGCTTAAGGAAATTACCTGATTAATTTTGCAGCTCGACTGGTGTTCGGAAGAGAATTTTTCCATCAACATTTCGGTCAAGATAAGTGCACTATGAGATAAAATCCATCTGTCAGTTCCATCGAGGGGCTTACTCGATCAGGAAATCTTTTGTTTTTCATATGTATAGCAACATGAAAAATTACCAGTGGAATTATCAAAAATCATCAGTTGAATACCGTGTTGATTATACAAAATAACAGTCGAATAGTGCAATTCTATTGGCTGAAATTTGGAAGGGAAAAATTCTCGATTAAATCTGCTCTCCAATATAATTTGTTGGGATTTCAGATAAATATAGAAGGGAAGGAATAGATTCAACAGGAGGAGAAAACAACGATTTCTCAAGCTTCAAGTTTTTAGAATGTAAATTTTTTTCAGTTAAATCAGACAATTTCTATTCCCGCATTTTAATTGAGAAAACAGTTCCTAATCAAAATAAATTATCGATTAAATCTGCTCTCATTCCCTTCAATTCCCATTTTTATATTCATCCCCATCGAATGTTGATTAGTGCAATTTCCATGTATTTTCTCCACCCACACATCCAGAGAGATAAATAGAAAGAAGAAAAATCAGTGGTAATTGGTGACTACAAAACGGGCGTGAACGAGTCATCACAAGCAAATCGTGTACTTGGGTGACAAAAAAAAATCGAGTGAAAGGTGAAAAGAGAGAGGTCCAGAGTCAGGCTCACTTCCCAACTGGAGGGAAAATTTTTTTTCCGACTCGTTTTTTATCTCTCCCCCCCTCGAGAAACGGAATTTGTACCTGTGCTTCACAGGTTCCCCTCCCCTCCCTTCCCTCTCTATATTTTTATTCGTTTTATTGTACTTGGAAAAAAGGGGGTCTTCAACCGAGACTCACCTCGCCCACGTGTTATAATCTCGTATGTTTTTCTCGTGTCGCAATGGCGTATCGCAGTTGGACTTTCTACCTTGTTTGTATTACGATTAAATTAGAGGAAAAATTTTTGTTGTTATCGGGGAAAATATTACTATATCTAGTGTCGTTTGGCCGTAATCATCATTAGAAATAAATTAAGAAATGTAATTCGATAAGAATTGAAGATTTTGTAATGGAGAATGATAAAATGGAGAATTTATTCAAAATATCTTTATGAATTCCTATCTTTTCAATATTTTTTAAAAATAATTACTATTCAACAATTAATTTTTCTCTTCATTCTTATAATCTTCAAAATTATCGAATTAATGACAGAAGAGGCGAATGATCTAATCAATTGCCTCTCACCTCTTCAATTGATCACCTAAATCTACAGATAAATAATTCATGTGTTCCTCTGACAAACTCTGAACTTGTTTGCATTACGATTAAATCAGAGGAATAATTTTTTGTTATCGGGAAAAATATTACAGTATCCAGCGTCGTTTGGCCGTAATCATCATTAGAAATAAATTAAGAAATGTAACTCGATAAGAATTCGATAAGATATTTTAATGGAGAATGATAAAATGAAAATTTTTATTCCAAACATCTTCATCAAATTTTTTTCTCCATTCTTATAGTCTTCAAAATTATCGAATTACTACGAGAGGAGGTAATGATCTCTCCCCTCTTCAACTGATTACCTAAACCTAGAAATAGCTAACTCACTTTTTCCTTTGACAAACTCTGAACTGAGATCAGCCGTGACATAGTTGCTACCAACGATAACGATAAAGCCTATCACGAGGCATTTGTAGATTGTTGTCGACAGTGCCTGTGGTGGCTCGTGTCGCTGGTTGAACATGATGAGCTCTCATGCCCCTTCACCACAATCCACCGGCCTCTCAAGATTAATCTCGTGTGCGTAAATATTTCTTTGATCCCTGACCAATGGCGAATTTCTCTCATTAACGTTGTTAAATATATTTTGCTCTCGCATCCCCATGGCTGATTAACTACCAGTAGACGATCATGTCTCTCCACGTTTCCACGTTTTTCTGGAAGAAGAAATTTCAAAATAAAAATTAGAAAAATTAATTTATGGTATTAATGAAATAAATGAGGGAATCGATCGCATATTTTTGACAATGAAAAACCTGTCCAGTGGACATTCCGAGAGTGGATGAACAAATAACATTAGGCGAACGGGGGAGAGGCGCCAGAGACAGTATTTAATTTTGATGGCAACATAAAAATCTGGTATTTTGGCTCTTCCTTCATCCCTCGCTTTTTCACTGGCATAACTGGCCCTCTTCCTTTCCCGATTTCTTCGAATTTCGGGGTTTCGACATTTGTCCATTGATTCGTAATTAACAAAAAATGTAATTAGGATAATTACTTAAAAATTTAGAGGTCTGCAGAGCAAAAAATTGTAGTTATTCGCAATTTTTAATGGCACTGAAGGAATCAAGTTTCACATTTTGATGAAAGAAATTATTTTATGTGACTTAAAAAATTATTAGATAGGGTAATGAATTGGGAGTGAGTAGTGGCTGCAGTGGAAGAGCCTCGGCCTCATACTGTGAAGATAAAGGGTTCGAATCCCCCCAGAATAACTTACCATCACCTACGATTAACTAAAATCCATTTTTAAACTAAATTTTAATCATCAAAACCATTAAACAATGCGAAATTCCTCGGATATGACTGACAATTCCTTTCACGTGCATGCCCGTAAAAACTTTCTCTCCACTAAAATAACAATTTGAACGAGTAAATTCTCATTACTCAGCAAATAAAACAAAAAATCCCTTGCATTCCTCTCTTTATTTTCAAGCATTAAAAAAAAACAAAAAAGCTCTCGAAGAAAGAAATGGATAAAAAAGGTGAACAAAGGGTTAGAACGAAGGGAACGAGGTTCTTCGCATGGCGACATCGCTCGTATTTATCGACACCGTGTCTCCTCTCGTTTATCCCCCCCCCCCTCCCCCCCAAAGCACTAGGTATACAGCGAATCGCGGCATCTTTTGAGGGTATACCTCTGGCAAAAAGCCCCTGCACTGCGGAGACACGTTGTGCCTCCGTGTTAACTGCTCTGCTTATGCATTCATATCCTTGTTCGTGAACATGAGGATCGGGTCTGATTGTTTCCACAAAATGCGACAACGGGTACCTGTGTTTGTCCTGCCTCGAGAAATTATTTTGAGGATTTTGTGAGATTTCGTGTTTTAAAAAATTTTTTTTTCGTTCTATTTTTAATTTCTAGAATTGTTTTCCGTGTCTTTAGATTTGATTTTTAATTAAAACATTAGTTTTTCGCTATCTGATACCGTTTCGATCCCGAAATAGTAAGAAAATTGATTTTTCAAATAAAAGAGAATTCACCTGACAAGTTTTGACATAAATAAGAAGTGTTTTTCACCCCTGGAATATAAATCGCTTCATCGGGTTTCACATTATCCATTGGACTCTCACTCACAGTAATGGACGGTTCGATGTGAGGTAAGAAGCGTCGAAAGAAGTATCAGAAGAAATAGCGATGGAAAGGACACAAAAATCCAGGAATATAATGTCAAGGGGTAACGGTATTAAGTGAGAACGTGAGCGAGGTAACGATGCGAATTGCAATTCTGGCTCGAGTGTGGTCAAGTCGACATCTCCTATGCATTCCAAATTGCATTTCCTCCGTTTCACCTCCACTTGTCATTTTTTCTTTCCCCCTCATAAATTTCAGTATTGGGAGCAAGAAATTCTGCATGAAATTGAACTGCTCGATGGCTTTTTTTATCACTGTTTTCCATTGAGCTATTTTAATTTGCGCACAAGTGAAATCAACAAGCATAATGCGTCGATCCTGAGATCAGCCACATGCGTTAGACATTTTTTTCTCTCATGTGCGTACGAGGCCAACATTACATTGTCGATGTGAAAGCTAGCTTAGGCTGCTTGTCGTAATTCACTCAGTGTGTCAGAGATATATAGAGCTTCCTAGGCGTTTTGTCTCCCGAGATATTTCAAATCCCCTCATTACGCCAATTCAATATTTTTCATTTCAATTGAAGTTAATAACATTCATCATCGGACTGAAATTTCCGTCGACAACTTCACGTTACATGCTTTTACTCATAACTAGGTTAATAAAAATTCCTGTTGGTGAAATAAAAATGTTCTAGTTCATCTGACATATCAAAAATGCTGCGCCTCAAGAGGATATTTGCCCTCCCCGTACCCCCGAGTGAGTCCAATTATGCAAATTATTAAATTATCCCGTATATTAAACCAATCAATTTGAATCGTGATTGAAGGTATTGCGCCACGAGATGAAAAAATCTTGCGGATCTGTTGCTCAAGCCCGAGCTGCGTGAAATATCCTCGCTCGCAGGCCGATCGTGTCCCCGGGGACTCCTGGAGGGACTCCACAGCTCCATTTCACGTCGTTAAACATCTAGATCCAGGCAAAACCCTCGGTACACCTCGTAAACAAAATTTTGACGTGTGTAAGAAAACTCCGGCTTCGCAAAACCCTTTAGGAGCCGATAAAAAAAAACAAAAAGACCCAGAGGAATTAAAAACTTCAGACAAAACATACCCCGAGATCATCAAAGAATACAGCGAGCAAATCGAGTCGAAAATTGCGCAGAACGAGGAAAAAAACCGTTTCACCGGAATTTTCTCCAAGTCGACGATCGAAAGAATTTCTTCACTAGCTGGAATAAAGCAAAAACATGGCGCCAGTTCTCCGAAAAATTCGTCATGGAAATCCCCGGAAAAATCGACGAAAAAAATCGATAAATATTCAAACGAAGATCCCTCCGAAATTTCGGTAATTATCGAGCCCCTCCCCCCGGATTTACATTCACACATGAGTGACATGGGTATAATGATGATTACAGTGTGCGAAAAAATAACTCCAACTCGTTCATTCGGCGCCGTTGACCTTCGGATCAACGGTGTGCCTGTTACACGTGTGAAACAAATTAACACGAGATTCCCTAACCTCAATGTCACGAGTTCATGCGGCAAATGTGAGATTAAAATTCCCATTGCGATGAGGAATAAATCCATGTTGAATTTATCGTTATCGGGTACGAGAGGATCGGAAGCAGAGAATGATGTTCCATTAAAAAGGATGACTGGTGATTCTGGAGGGCATGAAGGAGACCTCATGCGTAAAACTGTCCCCTGGTGGACGACCTTGGAGTCCTTTCGCGCCCTTGAAACCCCTCGCAATCTTAAAATCGAGCTTCAGGTGTTGAAATCATCGCAGACAGTCGCAAATATCCGGAATAATTCCGGAAATTCCGGTGAACAATCCCAAGTGAAAGTTAATCTCAGCCCCGCAAAACCGGTGAAATCGGCGTCCATTAGCGAAATGAGCCACGACAAAGGCGTCAAGCTCCACAAGTCAGACATGAAGAACGTCAACTCCTTGATAAACCACTGGTTAAATTCTAAAATGAAAATTCCCCCGAATCACCGATTTCCCGAGACGCGTTTGCGCTACGCGCCGGCGATAAAATTGTCCGTCTCCTCGATAAAAAATGAAAAAGTGGAGGAGACCAGGAACATGGTACCCTGGGCGAGTGCCAAGTCTTTGTCTCCCACGCGTGTCGCAAAAATCCAGCAAAACAAGAACCCAAAAATCGATACAGCCCCGGGAAAATCGACTGCTGAATTACCCAGCGCAGTGTCTTTAGCGCCAGAATTTCCGGCGATCTCTGGAGAAATTCTGGAGAGGGTGGAAGTGAAGCTGGCGCCGGAGACAATGAGACCTATGAAACGAGGGAAAGGCAGCAGCCTAATTGATTATGGACATCGTTTGCATACGGTGAAGAAGCCTGAGAGGAAATTGCAGCAATTGGATCAGGGCAACCGGATGCTGAAGGAAGGATCGATTGAAGAAGTCATGGCAAAGAAATCGAGGCCTCGTGACGCATCGGTAGAGAGGATCGTTAAAAATCATCGGAAAAACGATAATGATTCGGCAAAACAGACTGATGATCGAGGGATTACGGGGGGTGACACTTTGGTAAAATTAATCACGAAAGATTTGAGATTATGACGACATATATTTTTTTCATTTTCAGAGAAATGTTACTGATTTTCAGTGATTTATCCCTAATTTGTAGTGACATTATCACTAATTTCCAGGGAAATGTCAGTGAATTCAGTAACATGTTCTTGAAAATGAAAAAAACAATTCACTCAACGATAGCAAAGAGTACTTTGATGAATTATTTCCAGTAAAGCCAGATGATCGAGCGAGACCACTGGGACCAGAGAGGATGCGCTCAGGTCATCATCATGCGAAGAGTTCAGATGGCAACAGCCAGGTAACCTTGCAGGGCACGAAGACCCCAGGCGAATCCGGGTACCCCGCCAACACTGTGGAATGCAACAACAAAGTACGCCTCAAGGACGAGAACATCCTAACTACTCCTGGCACGAGATCGATGCGGAAGCTCAAGATGAGACTCCAGAGATCCATGGATCGTGACACAAGACGGAATGCGGATACAAGTGTCGGGGATAGATGGGGAATCAAGTATCCGAGTCATGGGAATTTGAATGATAATGCAGCTAAAAAATTACTGTACTCTGCCTGGTTGAATAATCAACGTGGAGGGGACGACTGAAATTTCTCCGTGGAGATGCTGCATTAGTGCATCAATTTTCATGCAGAAATTTCGTTGTTCACAAATTCTAAATGAGTTCAGGGATATAAATAAAATGACTTTCGACTCAACCAGAATGACTGCCAATTATTCCAAGAAGCAATGGACATGGTAGTGAAAATACACTGTATCCTTTTTTGTTCTTACCCCCAATTTGCAGACGTGCGAGATAACAGGAGGTCCCCGATAACTGGTCATTAACCGTCAGCGTTGGATATTTTAGCTGGAAAAAGGGCCCCGACAGGTAAGAAGCCAAGAAGGATATCACGCTTGCAACGTAACCCATCATTACATGCACGCGTTTTCATGGTTGAAGGGTGGAAGGAGCGGAATAAAACGTGGCAAATGTCTTTCAAAGAAGCCAACTTCAAACTCCGGTGGAA